AAAAATTTGACAGAGTGAGAAAAATATGGAGAAACTGTTTTTGTTGTATCTAATTAATGTTAATTAAGTCTCAACTAAAATTAGCTTCCTGACTTAGAAAGTAAACCCTGAACACTATATCTTCATGGGTTCTTCTTCTCCATTCTAAACTCTGCTCTTGAAGGCTATCAGTTCAAGGGACTATCGCCCTCAGTCCCTCCTTCTGTTTTGGTATGTCTGCCATGGTTATTTCACAGTGTCCATTATGTTTGCAAGCATAGAAAACAATTTTAAGAACAACCTGCTTAACATCCATTTTGCTTCTTTCCTGGAAATTTATCCAGATTCTCCTCCCTGCCTTACCAAAGGGCCATTTCCACAGTTTTCCTGCAGTGTTTTGGCTGATCAGATTAGTTGAACAGAAGTCTTAAATGGAAGGTTGGGCACATCCTTTGCTAACACCCACTCATCTTTCTGGTTTCCACACCTTTTCCACAGAGTCTCCTTCCACCTCAGCTCCCCACCCAGTTGGCCAGTCACTCACTCACCCTGGGAGAGATCTAGTTTGGGTTGGTGGAAACTGTAATCTGATCACTGCATGACTGGTTCAGACCTCACTGGGTATAAAGCATGAACAAAGACACCCATCTGTGCTGCTTCTTCACTGAGAACTTGCTTTCCTGGCATGTTCCCCCCAAATTATGCCAAATACAGTGGATTGCCATCACAAATGGAATTCTCACCTTCAGAATAATCAAGTTATCCAGCAAAGCCTTGTCTTGCTCCTTCCACTGTTTTTGGAATTGAAAGCAATCCAGCTGTCTCTAAGGACAAAAAAGAAAACAAACATAAAAATAAACCATTCTTACATTACAAAGAGTGGGGGAAATTGACCATTTTTTTAATACTAGAAATTTCATACAGATGGTGAGCTAATTTATATTTTCATTTTGACATTTATTTTCCCAGTAGGAGTGCAATTAAGCCATATTTTAAGTCTGTTCAAAGTGGCCATCATCTGAAAATGTTGTAGGCATATCTGTAGATAATGTTCTCACCCAATTGGCTGGGTTAAGGACTCAGGAATGCTAGCTCCCCTTCTCCTAGACCACCTCAACCAAGGGGCACTTGGAATATGAATCTGCTGCATGAAACTTGACTTCCTATCCTTCCTGCTTCCCATCCCTCCCCACTCAGGGCTACTTTCTACAGAACTGGCAAAGGGATCTTCCTTTATTGTAAACTTGGCCATGCCAGCCCCTGCTTAAATAAATCTTTTGGGACTGCATATGGCCCTCAGAATTGAGTTAAAACTCTACTATTAGCAGGTTGTCAAAGTCGTCCTTGACCTGATCCTGCTTACTCTCCCTGCCTCAGTCCTGGTCTCTCCCATTCTCTGCACTCTGCCCTGGAGTCATACTAAGCCATGTATCTTCCCAAGATGTGACTCTCCCTCTCACTGCCGGGCGTTTGCATCACTGCCCACTCTGCCTGGAAAACCCACTGCCCCTCTTCATCTGACTCATGCCTTCTTTTCCATTTTGACTTACAATTGCAACTTACTTAGTTGCAATCCAGTGATAACACTATTTTGCCATATTAAAATATGGCCAAAGATGCTTTTACCTAAAACTTTTAGAAAGCTGTAGCTTCACTGATTGTTCTTCTGTTTGCCCATGATTTTCAGTCTTACCGAACATGTTCCTTCTTAGATATTTTCCCATGTTGTCCAATGAAAACACATATTAAAATTCTACAACTACCTAACCTTACAAAAAGATCAGCAATCCCAAAAGACAAATACTTTGCTCAAATTGCTGAAAGCAATCTACCCACGAGAACTGATTCTTTTTCACATATGACGGAACTTTTCACTGAAGTGTCTCACTAACTCTGGCCACATCCATATGTGCTCCTGTCATGCCCTGTCACATACACTCCAGCTCTGGAACACCAATCTCCAAAACTCGATGTGTTCTATTTCATTTATTTATTCCACAATTGAATAAATTCTAACACCTGAACTACAAAATTGAGTTATTATCCAAATGTTAAAGAAGGTGGTAATATTAAGCGTCAGAGGAGATACAGATATTGTGAGATTCATCTGAGATTTCTTAGTGTTTACAACAAAGACAAAATAGAAGACCTATCTTTGAATGCTCTTCTCAGTTTAGAGGTTGTCCCGGTTTGGGGAATAATAAAAGAAAGAGAATTTGTCCTTTGTTCTGGAAGCAAATAGCCTTGAAGAAGGATGAATTTCAGAGCAGTGGGCCCCAGACCAAGGTGGTCAGCAGCGCTTCCAAAATTCAGTCTGGAGTTGGCAGGTACTTTGCTCCCACTGTACTTGCTACCGGGATATCTTTTTGTTTCCTCCTCCAGTGAGTGTCACTTGCCTGAAACAGTTTTTGAGTAACTTGCTTTAAGGATGTTTTCCACAGAGTACTACTCCTATCCTTTGAGATTTGAATTTAATTTTGTAAATGGATGAGTTTTCTTTTCTTTTTAATGAGAGCCCTTGTTGTCATATCATCCATCACTTTATCCTTCCATATTTGTGCACCTTTTATTCACGTCACCCATTTATTGACCTGGAGAAGGAAATGGCAACCCACTCCAGTATTCTTGCCTGGAGAATCCCGTGGACAGAGACTGGAGGGCTGCTGTCCATGGGTCACATGGAGTCGGACATGACTGAAGTGACTTAGTATGCATTTATTGACCACATTGTTAACTTTTATAATTTTTTTCTTTTATATATTTAAACAAAATTAACTCTTTGCCATAGCTTTCTTAATCAAGGAAATTTCTATACTAATTTATTTAAAGCCTCATAAATCTAACCACTTCAATACATTTTGCCTGCTTACTCTACTAGTAGACAAAGAACAAAATGCATTGATGGTTTTTCCTTTTAAAAGAAAGTTTAAATTTAGAAAAGTTGGGCAAAACCAAATGCAATGTCTTACTGTTTTTTATTGCTTCATTGTTCTGAAGCAAAATGGCCCCTGCATGCTTGATATAATTAATTAGACCCTTAATTTAGGCATAAGCAGCTTGGAGCTGGCTCTAGCAGTAAGCAGGGGCCCCACCATTTCAAAGCTGGGTTACTCTCAGCAAGTTACAAAGCAAGTATGGGCTTCAGTGTCTTTCTTGGTCAAATATAATTGTTGGGAGCAGAAAATGAGAAGACACCTAACAAGGCACTTTATTACCTTCTTCTCTAGCCCTCCTTCTCCTGCCTTTTCAACAAGTATTTCAGGAAGAGTTAATGAGAACCAGGTGATAAAGCCACAAATATCATCCTTGGTCTCCTGTTCCTAAAAAAAAAAAAAAAAAAATTAACTGGAATTGAGTAATTAACCCCCATTATTTTTTTTTTAAAAATGTGGATATGTGGATCATGTATATCTACTGCTAATATACATAAATGGTGAGAGTTTGTTTGACCCAGACATGCCACTGGTTTTATAGAATATTAGTGTGCAACTGTTAATCTGGAATTGTTCCATAGTCTTCAATTTTGATTACCAAATTTGGAGTCGAATGGAGTTCTGACTGTAATCACAAGAAACTCAAATACAGGAAGATGCTTTGTTTTTAGTTCTACTAACAGCAGATTAGTCAGTAAGTACTTAGGAGGACGCTTTCCACCTAGCGTCAGACTTGGGAATGCCTAGGCTGTTTTTCACAAACAAGCTAACCAGGCAGAGAGTCATTTTCAGCTGAAGAATCCTATAGCATGATCACTTTAACTGTAGTTACCTATTTGGATATCATTTTCTTTCTTTTTTAAAAATACTTATTTGTTTCTTACGGCACACCGACTCTCTAGTTTTGGCCCCTGGGCACCAGGGTGTGCAGGCTCCGTCGTTGCTGCCCGTAGGCTTAGTTGCTTTACAGCATGTGGGATCTTCATTCCCTGACCAGGGATGGAACCTGCATCCCCTACATTGCAAGGCAGATTCTTAACTACTGGACCAGCAGAGAAATTCCTGGATACCATTTTCAGTTGTTTACTTTTCAATCTCTTTTCTGACATCCTGCAGACATGAATGTCAGGACATTAGGAAGATCCAAGACCTAATTTTTACCACGGAGCTTGAAGTAATTTTGATGAATTCCATAGATGAAAGATGGCTATCAGTCTTCAGCTAGAAATGTAGAGTCTCGGTATCTGAGGAAGTTGTAATAATCTCTAGTCTAGTCACACATTTGAAGCTTAAATTTGCTCCAGTACTTCCCATCAAGTGAGATTCAACTCTTCAGAGTATCCTTAGACAGATCTGGCTACTAAAAAATTCTTCCTTCTCTTTAACCCCCATTGCTTCTACCCTTGGCTCCAACCTCTGTTGGGGATGTAAGAAGCAGCTCTACTCAAACTTACAATGGTGCAAACTTCTTGAGAGCAGGAACTACATCCACTGTAGCTTCTAGTAACTTGATATGTGATTGCTGAATGACGTTCAAAACAGATTTTGTTCTTCATTTTGATATATATCTCACAAAAGAGCAAATCATCAGTATATTTAAGTTCTGAGAACGGATCACGTAAAATCACTGATTTTATTATATAAATGCTACAGCTGATATATTTTATTCTCTCAATTTTCTAATTCAAGCAATTTTTATCTATCTTATGCACTGCAGTTTCCCTTCATTACAAAATAACATAATGACACTACAGATATTTATTAGACATCACATGTGCAGGACAGACTGTCTCAGGCACAGAGGAGTTGAAACCCTACTGAAGTAGGCATTCTGGGTTCCAGCACCACTAACATCTGAGTGACCCTGACTCCTGATTCCTCTTCTGCAAACTGCAAGGGTTGAACCAAATGTTCTCTTAAAGTTATTTCTATCTTCACAAACCATTTGCATTTTTGACTCATTTGTCCCTGTCAGAGAACACAGACCTCTGATTTCCAGTTCAGTTATCAATTTGTATTGCCAATAACTGTCCATATGTACACTATTAAAAGCTATGGCTGCTTTTCCTTTCCTTTTTGTCATTTCAGAACACTTTTCTTCAGGAAACAGTGCGTAGGGAATGTGAAGAACGCTTTGAACTGACAGAGGCGTTGAGTCAAGCCAGAGAACAACTCCTGGGGCTCCAGAAGCTGAGCGGACAGTGGCCGCCGTCGCCACGCTCCCTCCAGGGCAGCCTAACCTCTGCTGCGGCCGGGGGTGGCCAGGGAGAGAGAAGGCTTGCCAGACTGCACTCTGAGAAAGTAATCAAAGCCCCTGGCCTGCCCGGAGTGTCGCAGCCCACCACTTCGCCAGCCTTTCCTCAGCCCAAGAGAGTCAGCAGCTCAGGTTTGCCCACAGTCCCCCAGCCACGTCCTCCCCGGGGTCGACCGTCTTCAGTCAGTGAGACCAGGCAAAGACTGGCTGCTATTCTGAGGAGGAGACTGAGCCAGCAGTGATGGAGCCGAAGTCAGGAGCAGCTCCACACACAGTGTCTATCTTTCCCGGAGTCCAGGGCCCCACTGTAATTAAGAATGACAAACTTCAAATTATTACCGCAGATGGAGAATGCATACTTAAAGATAGTTTTAATAATTGGACAAGCTAACGAATTTTGAAGCCACATTTTCTAAGAGGCCTTTGAAACTGCAACAGATAATGAAGTTGTTGGTATTCCAGAGACCCAGTCTCTGTATTTATGTATTGTGTGTTTCGATGTGCTCTATGAATATGCTCTTTTAGAGATCATAGGTAAAAATTTTCACCCATTGCATCTTTTCTACTTTTTTGCACTATTACAAGAAGATCTATTTCTACACACACACACACACACACACACACACACACACACACAAAATAGATTGTATTGGTTTTGTTGGTATTTGTTCATTTGTTTGTTGAGTTGAATAGGTTAAATAGACGTAATTAGCATTCTAAATAGCAAATGAAAGGACTTTAGTCTTTAATTTGATCATTTTTAAACTGCTTATTAGTTCAAATATTCGCAAACTTCATCATCACCAAATTTTCTCTATTTCACCTCATAATCGGTTAATCTAATTTCTTTTTAAGCGAGGTCAGATGGAATGATAGGTAATCTTCAGGAAGACAAAGGGCCAGCCACTCCTATTCAAGAAAAAGGGGGGTTATTTCTAAAACTATGGAGATGATTTTAGATGACAAGGAGCCTAGCCATGGAAGTATTACTTGGGAGAGATTTTCTCCATTAAATGGTCTCTGGTACTCCAGGTCAAGTTTTGGCTTTAACTGGTATTCTGTAGCTATTGTGTAGAGAACTAATTCAAGACAGTTTAGTAGAGGCACATAGTGCTAATTTAGCATGTTTTCTATTTTCAGAGTGAAAAATTAAAACCAGAAACCAGACCAACTATTTCACATAGTCATAAAGCTCTAGGCTCCTCCTGTTTTGTAAAAGGCAACTCTTTACCTTATGCTAGTATTTGTCTATCCTTTTCTCCATGTAATAAACATGTATTTTTCTTCTATGGCTGATTTTATTCAAATCTTTCATCTGACTGCATCATGGATTCCCAGGCTTCTTACTCTCAGATTAGGATGATACTAACACATGTGAAATATGGCACATAAAACTCTCTGTTGTTTGGCCACCATGTAGATGAGAGAATCTAAAGATATCTGGAATCCCTCCCATAAGCAAAAAAAAAAAAAAAGTGTTACTAAGCCAAATCAAGTCTATCTCCAGTCTTTCAAAGGATTGTTCTAATCAGTCCTTTCAAAGGATTGATCTAATCTAGGGTGCTTTAACCTCAAAAACATCTACATCAAGTCCATGAATTTCCCTGACTAGTTTAAGTGAGCACATCTTGTGTAAAGGCTTACAATGCTTACTTTTGTTTCACAAGGATTAGCGTACTTACAGTGCGTTAGACAGAGAACATATCATCTAACGGTGGTGGATCTTAGAGAGGATCTTAGAGGTCACCCCAACAATCTTCAGTTTTGCTAGTTTATTCGTGTCTTATTGACGATCGTGCGCTCAGGCCTTGGCTGTGTCCTTTCACGGTGGGCACGGCTGTTCCTTCCGGCGCCGCTTCTTGGTCTTCAGGTTCTCTTACTGCTTGTGCATGGCACAGACCCAGGGATTTATACTTCTTGCCCTTAGAGAATTTCCTGAGGTTCTCTTCCTAGGTCTGGTTAATGACAGTGGGGCCATGGGCCGTGGGTTTGCTGGACGCTCGGGTCTTGGAGCGTTTGGAAGCCTCACCGCCTATCGCTTCGGCGACGTGCAGCCGAGACAGCGCCACCTCGAGGCGCTCCGTTGTTTCAGCTGCTTCTCCTTGCGGCCAGGGTCTCAGGACCTTAATCTTGGCCGTGGTTTACAGGCGGCTGCAGATGACTTCTTGCAGCGAAAGAACAACAGTCTCTTTACAAATAAGAAACAGATGCTTAAAGAAGTATGGGTACTTGGGTACGGTGATTCAGCTAGTTAGTGACTGAGCTTCCCACATCACTGTTCCACTTACCAGAGAATCCCAAATCTCCATCTGACTTTTGTCAGAAGCTAATGAACTCAATTTTTAAGCTTAAATTTGTATGAAAAGGAAGCTTGACCCAAGGAGGAATAATTATAAAGTAATAAGCGGAATACACTTTAAGATAAGTGTGTATCAAGTAAAATACAAAGTGTTGTTAATATGCTACGCTAAATCGCTTCAGTCGTGTGCGACTCTACGACACCATAGACGGCAGCCCACCAGGCTCCGCCGTCCCCGGGATTCTCCTGGCAAGAACACTGGAACGGGTTGCCATTTCCATCTCCAGTGCATGGAAGTGAAAAGTGAAAGTGAAGAAGCTCAGTTGTGTCCGACTCTTAGTGACCCCATGGACTGCAGCCTACCAGGCTTCTCGGTCCATGGGACCCTCCAGGCAAGAATACTGGAGTGGGGTGCCATTGCCTTCTCCAGTTGAGTATACCCCCTGATATTTTCTTGTATGATGCCAGTGGTACTCATGCCATACTCTGGAGAGCACTCCGCCAGACCTCAGTGTTTCTGATCTGGTGTTCGCATGTTCATGTTACAAATACTCATGATATAAGGTGGATGGCAAAAGCTAGTGGAATCTTTGGTAAAAGCACAAGAGAATATTTGGACATCAGTCTTTGCTATCATATTTTACATGCTTTTCCACAGTCTTGCAACTTCAGCTGTCTCTTCAGGAACCATGTGTGTGTGCATGCATGCTAAGTCACTTCAGTCATGTTCAGCTCTTTGTGACCCCATGAACTGCAGCCTGCCAGGCTCCTCTGTCCATGGGATTCTCCACGCAAGAATATCGGAGTGGGTGGCCATGATCTCCTCCAGGGATTCTTCCCAGGGTTCAAACCCAAGTCTCTTATGTCTCCTGCATTGACAGGTGGGTTCTTTATCACTAATGCCACCTAGAAAGCCCATGGAGATACCTTTGGGGAGGGGGGTTGCTACCTTGGGTCTTAGAATTGCAGCAGGGAGGATCTTTGAGTGCAGGCTCTAGAGCACTTGGGCTTGGTTGCTCCGCAGATTGTGGGATCTTAGTTCCCCAAACAGGGATCAGACCTGCATCCCCTGCATTGCAGGGTAGATTCTTAACCACTGGACCACTGGGGAAGTCCTCCCATAAGCTTTTCTAAAGTGATATAAAGACCATGCATGAAAAACCTGGTTTCTTGGTTTGTTGTTAACACTCTTGTTTTACGATGAGTAACTGGGTAAATAGCACTCTGAGAATAGAATCATGATCTTGCAGTCAGGCTGTATTATATTCCACAAGTATGTCAGAGAGGTAATTCCATGGATAAATAGAGACAATATTTGCATTTATTTCAACCTAGACCTAAGCAGTCTAAGTTGTGTGCTTATATCTTTTGAAGAAAGACACTTAGAGAAGAGAATAGCATTAAAGTCTGTAACCTAAGGGTTAAGAACGCATTCAAACCTTCCTTGATTTTCACACTGATTAACTCCTGGCATGAAAAAAATATCAGGAATATTAAGAAATAGTGAATATTATGACAAAATAGGGGTCTCATATGCATATAGTGGATATTAAGTCTAACAGTTTTAATTTCTCTATAAACATACATTTTCCATAACCTCAATGGAAGAATTTATAGGTATCTAGAGAAAAGAATATAATAGAAAATATTCCTTAGAAAATTATAATACTGTTTGTTTTTTTCTTAAACTAGGATTGGTAGACAAAGATGGGAGAATTCTCCTATAGTTAACAGATTTCTCAAGCAATTTTTAAAAAATTTATTGATTTAAATGACTATATTTATAGTTAGAACTACTTAAAAGTTATACGTTCTGGTTGACTGGAAGAGATATTAATATTGAAAATTATGTTAGACTAAGATCTTTTAATTTTATATTAATCTAAAGTTTTATAGTATTATATATTAGTTATAGCTCATTGCTTTTGATTATGCAACAAATTTTCTTGTTTTATTTTTTAAAGTTCTTACAGTTATTATAATATTGTACTAGTAGACCAAACTAGTATCCTAAAAGGGTTAATTCTCTGCAGCTGAAAATTCCTAACCATCATGTTGACTTTTATTGAGCACAGAAAATCAATTTGGTATGTGCCCAAAGTTCACAAATCCTATAATAATTATGGATTTTTTTGCCTTCATGTTTTAAGAAAATAATTAAGGTACACTGTACTTTACATGGGACAGTTTTAATGATCTTAAACCATGATAGACGATAATGGGAGCATTCCTAAGGCAGTGCTTGTGGTACCTTAAGGAAGAAATTCTACTTATTCTTTAGAAAATATTAACCCTTTGATTTCTGGTTCCTCTGTCTTTTCTAAATCCAGCTTGAACATCTGAAAGTTCTCAGTTCACATACTGTTGAAGCCTGGCTTGGAGTATTTTGAGCATTACCTCGCTAGCATGTGAAATGAGTATAACTGTGCAGTAGTTTGAACATTCTTTGGCATTGCCCTTCTTTGGGATTGGAATGAGAACTGACCTTTTCCAGTCCTGTGGCCACTGCTGAGTTTAATAATAAACTGTAAAGTCAGTATAATTGTGTTACATCTGAAGAATATGAAATAAAAATTATTCACCTTTGTATATTCTGAATTAACAGATAGAAATTTTTAGCAACACGTTAGTTCAATCTGAAACATACTAATCCTATGACAATATTTCATGATCCAGAAAGTTGAAAGTTCTCTCTCTTCTCTAGCATATTTTATAGTGCTTTATATCCATCAAGTGAGCAAAAAATGTACTAAAAATCCTTTACCTTCATATATACATATATATGAATACTAGATCACAGAGATTATGTAATTTGTCCAAAATAAACACTACATAAGACTAATGACTAATTTTAAACTGCTGCAGTTTCTAGATATCTTGACCCATAGATGAATATTTAGGCCATATTATATATTCACTCTTTTTTTCAACAGATATGGAGAATTAAAGAAGCATTGTGAAAGTTACAAAGATAATTAAGATGTACTACAGAAGCCCAAGAATTGTATAATGGAGGGCAGTGAGGAACCGTATGTAGAGGTTATAATATAGAGAGGCAGGTGTAAGGAAGAGTGTGCTATATGAGTTCAACTTCTTGGTGGAAGAATCGGGGGACACTTTAGGCAAGAATTGCAACTTTCAGTAGGTCTTAAAGAATGGAGTAGGGTTTTATAAAAGAAAGAATACCAGGTGGAGGAGACATGTAAACAGAGCTGTAGATATGTAGAAAATACTTGGTTAAGGGAAGCAATGGGAACCTGAAAAAGGTAGGTTGACCCCAAAGCATCGTTGAATAAGAACTCATCACAGAATTTTGACTAGAAGTGGCATGCACTTTGTTGAAATTTG